AGTGTCAAGTTTCTAAGTGAAATTGTATAAAGACTTGTGTGTGTAATATCTTCAGTATTTCAAAGTGGTTATATAGTTCAAAGCTTAGTCTACTATTATGATCCGAAATATTGTAAAGAATATTGCACTAAATGAAAGTTCAATCGTTACGACACTTTCAATTATGCATAAGTCTTGATAAGTGGTCTATTTGGCAAGGATTGAGTATATTTTATTTTCAATAAATGGAGGAGGATTGTTGGAGATTTATTGAAAATAAAACTCAATTGTGTATTTACATGGTCCTTAATCATTTTATAAACAAATGATGTAATTCTTTTACATGATGTTATATAAATGTAATAATTATTATTATTATATAAATTAAGAGAACACATGTGCACGTGTGTCTCTTAATAATTATAATAATGTTACTTTATTTCATTTGTACTTAATGTGCTCTTTATAAATGTTATTAAGTTTTATTCTAGAAGTGGCCATCCATGTACGTACATGGCAGAACACTTATTGGTGTTCAAATGTTTAAATGTAAATTAAATGGAAATGTTTTTAAAAAAAAAAACGTACATGAGTTCTCTTATAAAGAGCCGCACCGTTTCTTTTATTTGAAGGCTTTTCATTTGTACTATGAAAGGGCATTTCGGCAAGTTTGTTAACGGCCTTTTCAAAGGGTTACACTTTTATTATAAATAGCAGGACCATGTGGGATTGATGGACGGATGAAAAATCAATTTTTCAATCTTCTCTTGCCTTACTAAATACTAATATCTGTAGCGCTAGTATTGAAGTGCTTAGACCGCTTTATGTACAAATCACTTGTTTAGTGTTATTTTGTTAGTAACCAAAATACACTGCACACCTTCTTTTTATCCCAAAAGTTCTATCTTGTAACCCGGTTACTGTGATAAGGGTAGATAGTAAACTTTTAGGAAAGCGTATCTAATACGTGACTAGAAGTGATATCCGGTCCAACCATATTTCATTCCCTTATAATTCACTATTTCTATCCTCCGGTTCTAACAATCTAAAAGTTTACTAATCCGAAATTATGGCCGCTACTCAACGTGATATCAACACCAATTTTCAAAATTGGAAAAGTTCGAAGGTGTGGAATTTCGAAGGTGGCAGAAAAAGATGCATTTTCTGCTCACCACTTTGAAAGTGGTCTATGTGTTAAGCACCCCGAGACCGCCCGAGGAAGATGAAAACGAGACTTTGGAAACAAGCCGCCGCCGCATAAAGTGGGACAATGATGACTATATCTGTCGTGGGCACATTTTGAACGGTATGTGTGATTCTCTGTTTGACGTGTATCAAAATGTTGAGTATGCAAAAACGTTGTGGGAATCTCTAGAATCCAAGTATATGACCGAGGATGCTTCTAGTAAGAAATTTCTCATTAGTAACTTTAATAGTTACAAAATGGTGGACTCTCGTCCGGTCATGGAGCAATTTCATGAGATTCAACGTTTATACGATCAACTTTTGATACACAACATGCATGTCAATGAAACCTTTGCTGTCGGTTCTATAATCGACAAATTACCCCCTTCATGGAAGGAAGTGAAAAATAGCCTCAAACGCAAAAAGGAGGATTTGTCAATGGAGCAACTTGGTCGCCAACTTCAAATTGAAGAAGGCATTAAGTTGCGTGAAGGTGACAATGGTAAAAAGAGCGACCTTCCAATTTCCTCTATAAATGTTATGGAGGAGGGACAGTCAAGTGGGACTAAGAAATATAAAAAACGTCCTGGGAAATTCACCAAAGGTTCCAAGTTTCAAAAGAAGCCGAAAAATAAGAAAGTAGGCTCTTGTTGGGAATGTGGTGGTCCACACTTCAAGAGGGACTGCCCGAAGGTGAAGAAGAAAAAGGCCCAATTGAATGGCCATCCTAACGGTGGCCAAGACAACCAAGGTCAGAATCTTTTTGTAGTTACAAATGATGTTGATAACAACATGATGTTCACTATTTCTATCCTCCGGTTCTAACACTATTATGGGTTGATCTGGGTGAATTGTAGGTTTTGGAAGAGTCAAAGCAAGATTCCCAGTTGTCAGGACCCTTCTAGATTTTCTGGAGAGGTAATACCATAGCCTGAGATTGATTCTCTCGAATTCCATTACATCCAATCCACTCCTTTTATAACAGTAATCCCACTTGGCATATTCTAAATGACAGCTTAATCTTGTTTTTATTTGTAATATTCACACCCATGTTCAATGATAAGAGCAGACCAAGTACTCACAGTAAGTATATACGATAGTATAATACTTATGTCCAGATAATAATCAACATTTGCCACTAGTTCGGTCTATTTTTCTTGCTCCGGATGTTGAAGCAATTCTGCAAATACCATTGAGGAGGCAAGGTGGACTGGATCGGCTAGCTTGGACAAAGAAGAAATCAGGCATGTATACTGTTCGATCGGCTCATCGAGCGATCGTGGCAGACAGACAACGAAATGAGGCTGCTTCAAACAATAACCCCTCTTCTTCGTTAGGCAGTGAGGAGGAGCTATGGAAAAATCTGTGGAAGCTTATGGTCACTCCAAAAGTGCGGGTATTTTGGTGGCGGCTTCTTCGTGGAATCCTACCCGATTATGGGACCTTGTCACGACGGCATATCATGGACATTAGCACTTGTGGTCTATGCAAAGCTGGGACAGAAACTCTGTTGCACGCTCTTGTGGAATGCAACCATGCGAGACTTTTCTGGGATGCGGCTGAAGAAGTTCTTTTTATTAAACTGTCGCGCCTTCACCAAGCAATTTGGGCCGTTGATATTCTCTGCAACTCAAGGTTTGATGATAAAGATAGGCCTAAAATCATCTTTGTAATGCATTCGATTTGGCTATCACGAAATAAATGGACTCATAGTGATGCTGGTTATAACCTAGCAAAGGCTATGGAGTATGTCCAAGAGCTTCTATTATTAATAGAGCTACCCCCCACTCATTCCGCGCCAAAGCAACCTCGGCCGGAGTGTACTTGGCATGGACCACCGGCGGATGTAGTTAACATTAACTCAGACGGTGCTTTGTGTTTGGATGACAATATAGCGAGAAGTGGTGTAGTTGCACGCGACTGTGTCGGATTTCGAGGTGCAGCTTGTAGAAGTTATATTGGGATTTCAAACCCCTTGACGATCGAAGCTTTGGCCCTGCGGGGTGCTGTTACATTTGTCGTTAACTGGGGCTTCAATCAAGTGATCTTCGAGGTGGACTGTTCGGACCGGCTCTGGCATTGGAACCAATGACATCATGATCCTTATTAAGAATATATATTTCATCTCGACTCAAGCTTATTCAGAGTGAATATGACGATTGGACAATCAATACATCCTTAAAATTGTTTACTAAATATATAGCCTATAATAATATGTCATAATTGTCATATATACATCTATCAAAGTGGTTTCTATGGATGGAGTGTTAAATGAATATTTATATATTGATAATTTCAATATTAGTAAATTCATCCCGTGCAACGCACGGGTGAAATCTAGTATTGAGTAAAAAAATTCAAATTAAGCGGGTGATGTAGAACCTATCCGAATAAAATTTCCAAAACATAAGTATTTATTTTAGATTTTTAAATAATTGCTCAAAATTGCCATTTTTAATACTTCGAATTAAAAAAAAAAATTGATCCAACGTCGTCGGAATTGGCTAATCCGACAGTAGTGTTTTGGAATTTACTTTTTATATTACTTGAATTTATTTAGCCGTATTTAGCGGTAATAAAAAGGAGCTCCAACCTAGTCGGAATTGGCTAATTCGACCAGAATTGTGAATCCTGTTTAGTCTTGTTATTTTGGTAATTTCCTCCTTTCCTCATTCACATGTGTGCTAGTTTAATATTTTAATTAGTTAATTCTCTCTCTCAATTTATTTTGCATGTTCATTAGTTTTAGACTACTTTTAGTTTACTCGTTAAAGTCATTTAATTAAATTTTCTATTGCTACTTTTGTTGTTTAATTTGCTTAATCATTACCACAATTAATCGTTTGAGAAAGTTTGCAACAACTCGTACTAACCGGTGACCGATATTGAAACCAACACTTCCCTCTGTCACTCCTCAGAGACACGATACTCGGGGATAAACTTTTCCATCAGGTGGGGTTAAACTCCGTTTTACTACAATGCTGCATAAGCGGGTTTATCATCCAACTCGATTTGGCACTCCGGCTCGGAGTGGAACCCGAGTCCGGTATTGTGTGGGACCGGGCAGGGTCCGTGATTTGGCACTCCGGCTCGGTCGTACATAATTAATTTAATTTTTAACTAGCACGAGTAAGTATTAAACTAAAAGATTCTAACATTAATACATACTCCCTCCATCGAACTTAAAGGTTCCCACGTTGTTTACGATGTTTGACTGACCATAAAGTTAACTAATCCCCGTCATTAATAAGATTATTTTTAGTAAATAAAATTTACATTTTCAGAAACTACATTAAAAGTCTAATAATACCTGATCAAAAAAATTAAATTTGATAAAAGTTGAATATATAAATTAAAAGATTAGGAACAATTGACGTACGTTGACCGGAGAATAGTGGACGAGAACCTTTAAATGAGATAGAGGGAGTATAATATACACAGATAATACAAAAATGTAATACGTAGTATATAAATAGCAAGAGTAATTGAAAAACATGGTATGAATGATATGTCATAAAAAAATATTATTTGAGCAATTAAAAAACATGGTATGAATGATATGTCATAAAAAAATATTATTTGAGCAATTAAAAAACATGGTATGAATGAATGATATGTCATAAGTAATACTTATGAAGAAAAGAGCAAGACCCGATTATGTGAATTTGAGATTTTTTGTTTCTCAATCAAAGAATCAGGCCTTGCTTTTCTTCATAAATACTACTATTGTATTAATCAATCACCATTACTTAATTAGATATTCTAGATAACACTTCGGGCTATATTTAAAAACCCTTGAATCCCCATAAGGTACCGGTGTGGTAATACATTTAGGAGCCGTTTTATAATAATAATAAATAAATAAACGAATTCGTGAATGGGTTATGTGAATGGGTAATACATTCAGCTTTCTCTCGTCTTCAATGGATCATTTGCGGCCTTGTGCAAGATAATGCAAAATAGTGGTACTTTTATTTCTTAATTATTTTTTAGCGATGGAATTCTGTCTCCAGCCCTGCACACTATTATCTTCCTCTCTCATTTTCTTCCCATCTCATCTTTACATATCTAGATTTTCACCGGTTTAGGCTCTGAACGGCTTCAATTTGGGGTTGACCTGGGTGAATTGAAGGTTTTGGAAGAGTCTAAGCGAGATTCTCAGTTGTCAAAAGCTTTGAACCCTTCTTCTAGATTTTCTGGAAAGGTAATTCCTATAGTCTCAGATTGATCCCCCATTTATAACCGTAATCCCCCATTTGACATATTCTAAATGACAGCTTAATCTTGTTTTTTTATTTGTAATATTCACACACATGTTCAAAGATAAGCAACAAAACTCACTGTGTCCATATTTTAAGACATTGCTTTCAACATCTCCAAAATTGTGGTTTTGCAGTAACTCCTTTTTATATACTAAGTAGCTTTTTGAGGTATATGCAATGAAAAAAATATACGATAGTACTCCGGTATTTATTTTTTAGAAAATCTTAAACTAAATTTTGGTGAAATGTGAGCTGACCAGCTATCAAGACTAGCACTGGACACTTATGGGAATTCAAGAATTAATTCCACTTTTGGTGTTACGAGTTTTGTGTCAATTCCACCTTTAGTCCACGTCTTTCGTTTTGTCCACTTTTGATACTTGACTAGTGTTTTTTAACCGTTTGTGGTCCTTTTCCGGCGATTTTAACCATCGGAAACAATGCCGGAGGGACCATATATGAGCAAAAACGCAATAGTCATGTATCAAAAGTGGACAACGTGAAAGATGTGGACTAAATGTGGAATTAACCTAAATCTCGCAGGATGAAAAGTGGAATTTATTCGGGAATTCAAGGGGTGGAATTTTAAATTTAGGCTAAAGGATCAAATAAGCCCCTGTACCGGTGGTATAAGCTCAATTCAGTCCCTGAACTAAAAAAAATCAATTCACCCCACGAACCGACAAAAAATGGTTCAAATTTCATTTTTCACGGGTAAAAAAATCGGTCATTTTTTAAATATTTTATTGTTTTTGTTTTTTATTTTCGATTTATTGCAATTTTGACACTTTTTAATAGTTTAGGGGTTCGAATTAGACCTTTTTAATAGGTTAGAAAAAAATATGACTTCTTTTAAAGTTCACAAAAAAGTGATCCATGCTTCTCCCCGATCCAGATCTACGCAGCTTGCACACTGCGCCATCCGCCTCCCCTGTGCATTCCGCCTCCCCTGCACATGTCTACATAACTTCCATCTTCTTCCCTGCTTCAGGCCATCCAACCTCCAGCCAACACATAACACCTCTGCCGCCACAACCACCATTGAGCAACACACTGACCAAGGATTCTTCTCCTCTTGCTGAATCAAAACTAGCAGCAAGTTTGTGCACAGATTCGCCGACGAGCTTCTAATTTGGCGGTAACGGCGACAAGCTTCGCTGAGAAACTCCATTTTCAAGCTTCATCGACGAGCTTCTAATTTGGCTGGATCAAATCTGTCGACCGCCTTGGGACCGAACAAATCCGCCGCAGATCTGATTGTTTTCCCCACAGATCTGAAATTTTTGGCTTAGGGAGACAGGGGTTAGAGCAACTGGGGAAGGAGCTGGGACGAAGGCCTGACCGGGATGGTGAGGGAGACTATGAAAGGGGCTGGTTGGGTGGTGGTCGGGTTGGGACAGGGGAGGGATTGCATCGAGGCTGGGCTGGGGTTTGTGAGGGGGGCTGGGGAGGGCAGTGGCTATGCGGCTGGAGTTGTCAGAAGGTCCGGCGGCGGCCATTGTGGTCAAATGGCGGTGGTGGCAGTAACCGAAAGAGGCAGGGCTGAGTTCAGCGGATCTTGCGGCAGTGACATCACTGTGCGGTGGCGGCATCACTGCGGTGATGTCACTGCGGTTTTAGTGACACGCGCGGCGGCTATAGTGACACGCCCGATGGCTATAGTGACACGAGTGGTGATGACAGTGACACAGACGGTGGCTATAGTGACACGGGCGATGGCTACAGTGACACGGTCGGTGGCTACAGTGACACGGGCGATGGCTACAGTGACATAAAATCTGGCAGACACTATGTTTTTCTAAATATATGACATTCTTGCTCACTTTTTTGCCCCCTTTTAAAAGTGGTCACTTATGTTAGAACAGACAAAATTATGAATGTTTTCACTTGGACTTCAATTTTCTATTCTGATTAATTTGTTCAAGCCCGATCTGGCCTGCTTTAATTAATGTTTGATATATGCATATTTTACTATTGTTTAATTATGGTCTAATATGATATGTCTAAGATCTTAAAATATTGATTAATTTGGAAGTGGTTTCACACAGAAATAAAAGCCCTACAGAGCTTTACTTTCGAATTCAAAATTCTTAGTATAGATTTGCACGAAGTTCATCCAAACTAAATTTATTTGCTCTTTTGTTAAAATTTTCGCGAAGTTCATACAAACTATTGTTATACGTAGTACTCCGTATATAGGTATTTTGGTGGTGAAGTTCTGAACTAAAATGCAATTTGTCTTTTGAATTGTTTTTCTCTCTTCTTGCATTATGAGTCTTAGGATGTTTTTACTTGGACTGTAATTTGCTGGTCTGGTCTGATCTGGACTGATCTGGTCTGGTTTCTTTGTATTTTCATAACTATCCAAGTCTGGTCTGGGACAGATTACAGTTCAAGTAAAAACATCCTTATAACAACAGAGGACTGTGATGACAAATTTTAAGGATATGAATTTGGGAAAAATAATATAAATATCCCAAACTTTGATGGAGTGTGAGGTAGGTACCCCAAACTTGCATAGATGACATATATATATATATATATATATATATATATATATATATATATATATATATATATATATATATATAGAGAGAGAGATCAAATACAAAGTCTTCTTAATTTACAAACACTACAAGAAAAAGAGGTTTTTGCGACTAAGAATTTGCGACCACCTTGAAATATGGTCGCAATACATATATGAATAGCGACTGCTTTGTTTCATTGTCGCAAAATCATAAAAAATGCTTCATTTTTGCGACTACGTAAAAATACCTTCCCTATTCCTCTTACTTCTGGTCCCTAAAACATATACTTTTAGCGCCACACCCCAAAAAATTTAAGCGCCCAAAAAACATTTCGTTTCCTGATTAGAACTTAGAAACCCTACATCCCTCACACACGTCGCCAAGGAACTTGCGGATCTTAGGCAACGCGGCTTGTTGCCGGCGCGGCAGCCAGTCGAAGGGAGGGCAGCGATGAACTGATTAAATTGGCAAATGGAAGGAGAGAGGGCAGACACGTGAAGAAATCCACTCTCCATTTTGTCCCCTTCAATTCAGATTCGGGACATCTGTAACTTACTTCCACAGAGACGGCGAGACCACATCAAGCGGCGGCATGATACCTTCCGACAGACTGTCTCCCAACCGATGGCGAGTTGTTTGGGTCGACAAGGGCGATGCGGCTCCATGTAAATGACGGACGACTTTAGCAAAGACTGTTTCTGCTCGTGAGCCACTCAGGACAGTCTTCCGCGATGGAGGCTCTTTGGTGATGGCGCTCTCAGGCTCGAGGGACGGTGTGGGGCGGTTTTCTGGGGATCTAGAGGAGCAGGGGCGTCGAGACTTGGCAAAGCAAGAGCAGGTATGTATGAATCAGTGATTTGCTTTTGTATATTTTAGGGATTAATTTTTGATTTTTATTATATATATTGCTGTTTACTGAACTGTTTGGACAAAGAGAGTTGCACTTTGTTTCAATGCTAAAGTGTTAAAGAGTTGTTTAAGTAATGTTTTTCTAACTTTCAAATGCTCTGCAGATGAGGAAAGAATGGCCACTGAAAGAGAAGTTAAAAAAATGTTTATAGATCGAATGATCATTGATTTTGCTGGCTAGCTGATGTGCGTCTTGTTTGACGCTCCTCTCTGTTATATCTCCATAACAAAGCTGCACATGCTTGAATTGGAGTTGTGGTGGAAGAATCCACAAAATGTGGAGCTACACCAGTTCATAAGTAAAAACAATGTCCCCCATCACACGATAAGCATTTTATTTTGTCTCGTTCCATTCATCATGTACTTAGTATGCTGCCCTCCACCCAAAAAACATGGAAAACATCTTTGTGATGTTACATTGTTAATTATCCAACCACCACCCTTGCTTCAGTTTTTTCCTTCATATCTAATTGGTACACAGGGAAAACTGGGCCCTTTCTCACTTGATATATGCAACTCATTTCTTTTTATTTGGAGCAAGTTCCTTCTTGACTTGATTGAGTTTTCTTAAACAGTTTGGCTTGCTATAGTTTTTCTTTTTTTATCTGTTCTTATTTCACTTTCGTTTTACATGGTGATGCCTTTTGTAGGAAAATTTTCAAAGAGCAAAGGTGTTGGTGTTTTTGCTGATGATGCAATTGAAATTAATATACCTGCATAAATTTGGCGACCCAATCTCACTTCTGTTAGACCTGAGGTGAGATTTTCAGATCACAAATCACTCTATCTCTCCCTTGTTCTTCAAGTAAAAAACTGCCTATGTTTTAACACCAGTGAGTGAATACATGTTGCACCTTCTCTCATCACTTGCATGCTACCCCTTTCATTTGCTAGTTACCTTGACAATGAGCTTACCAATAATTTGTTCCATGCCTGTTTTGCTTTCATAAATTGTTCGCTATGTTTCTAATGTTACTATCGTTTGTCAATATTTATTGGTTAGATGTCCTGAAATGTGTGTCTAGTTTCTGAAATTGGAAACAATATTTCCAATTCTGATCGCTTATTTATGCGTGCCTTTTTGTATTGTACTTCGTATCTATTAACGCACTTTTGATTGAGTAGTATTTATTTTATATTTACATGCTGCATTCTTTTAATATCCAGTACACGGATGTAAAGTTTCATGAATAAAAGTGTAAAAAGCTGCAAGTTTGCACATTTTTTTTGCCTCCACACTACAGTTTCTAAACTTGTGTCTCACCGCATCATTATCTTCTACTACCTTCGTCCCTTTTATATTGGGACGGAAGGGGGTGTCACGAGTTTTAAGAAAAGTGGGTTTGTGTGATTGATATTAATTGATAAAGTCAGAATAAAGCAAGAATGATTTTGAGCCATACAAACTTTACCAAATAAGGTATGGGACAATTAAATAGGGACATCCCAATATGGTAAAACGGAACATTTAAAAGGGGACGGAAGGAGTATTATTCAAATTTGAAAATGTATTTGGATCTGAGAATATTCCAGAAAGCATGCATGGATCAAATATCAATCTCTGAATTGGTTGTTCGAGATTGCTTATATGTAATGGTTTATGCTAATAGCTCATCTGATTTGTATGGAGTACTTTGTAAACAAAGCTGCAATTGGAAAAGAATGCAAGAGGCTATCAGTTTTATACGGAGTATATGTTTTTGAAAATTTAATAATTCTTCTGTACTAGACTATCGAAGTGCTAATGGATCACGCTATGCATTCAAGCTATATCCCATTCTTTTTTCAGGGTCAGGGCAGTTTAGGTGAACTCTAAGCAGGGAGGTTTGGGGGTTAGGTATGATATTTTTAGTGCAGATGTTTACATGAATTATGTTAGGGTGTTTTGAACATTGAAGTCAGTTGGCTCAATTACTTAATGGGTCTTTGTGTTTCTTCAGAATGCAATGGTTAATAAGATTATGATATAAGGCCATAGGAGGTGTGAAATCTCCTACTTTAAAAGTGAACTTTTCTTAGAACTCTGCCCTTAAACTGCCCATTACCTAATTCTTCTTGTTAATTAATTTTTTATATTTCATTCAACTCAATAAATCATTCAGGAAGAGGAGTTGTTCGATGAGATCCATCTCTGCCACATGTTGGTGTAATTGAGAAGTGTTATGGTCACAACAACATAATCATATGGCTGATTTTGGAGGTGAATTGAGCAGACGGTACTTAAAGAGTCCATCTTCTATAAAGAATGATCATCAAGCCAAGTTGAAAGCTGGTGATTTTGACAACTAGTGTGAATGCATTAGAAGATTAAAGATGTTACAAAGCCATGAAGTGTCCGAATTTTAAATGGGCTGCTACATCTATATTATTTAGATAGTTTGTTTGGTTTGTGTAAAACATTTCTTAATAACTTGGAAACTGGCACAATGTGATTGATTGAAAATTTATAGTGAATGAGTATTTTGGAAGAGTATTTGTAAATTATGGTTGTATATTTTCGGATCACCCGTTATGTAAGATGCATTATAAAATCAATTTCTATATGAATTTAGCAGTTGCAATTAATAAATAGTATGTGTGTAATTTTACTTTAGTGAAGGGCTTCATGGTCGCAATTGCTCCTAAAAAATGCTCCTTAATAACATTTTTAGCGGCCAGATTATATTTGGTCCCAAAAAGCATTAGCGACCGACCACTTTTTCTGGTCGCAAATTGTCTTTTGCGGCCAAGCCAATAGGGACTGTCGCGCGACCACATTTTTTGGTCGCAAATAATCATTAGCGACCATTTTTTAAGTTTTTGCGACCAAATTTCCCTTCGCAAATGAGCCTTTTTCTTGTAGTGAAAGTACAAACTCATCTTGACCGTCCGATGAGTTGATCCAAAGGACATAATGGCAAGGTGGCATTTTTGTAATAAAACTCAACTTTTTAGGGTGCAACTCGTTGCACCTTAATGTGCAACTGCTATTTTTATGACTTTATAATGTGCAATACTTTGAACCTCAATATGCAATGCAAATAACGTCAAGGTGTATCGTACAAATATTTGCGCAATAAGCACACTTTGTACTTGATCTTTCCCCTATATATATATATATATATATATATATATATATATATATATATATATATATATATATTCCCAACTTTATACAAAAAATTATTTTTGCACCATAATTCAATGTTTTTTTACAAGTATAAATTTATTGGAATAATTAAATAACTCAAGATATCTAAGCTTTGTTAGGATGACAATAACATTCTAAAATTTCATTTGTGAAATAATTAATTTTAAAATCCGTACAATTTAATTTTAATTGCATAGTCATAAATGTTTTTGTGTATTTTAAATTATGTATTTAACACAATAGAATTACATTTAGAAAAAAAAACATACCATCATGGTGATAACAAAACCTTTTATATAAAGTTTGAGGTATATATGTTACATGTGCAAGTTTAGGATACTTATATCACACTTCTTCGAATTTTGGAATATTTAAATTATTTCCCACTATCAATTTTTGTTCAATTCTTATTCATTTTTTGGCATAGTAACTATGAGAATAGTTTGAAATATTTACAGATCAAGATGATCTGTTTGTCTGACTTCCTTTACTTAAAGTTGCTTTCCATTTTACAAATAAAAACAACAAGCTACAATAGGACACATTTTTCAAATTTTCCAAAGTTTCTCACGGTGGCCAAACACCAAGTTTAGTTGTTTTTTGTCAAACATGATATTCATTGTGAGTTAGAAATTGACAATATTTAAACGGCTAGATTGATTATACACACATAGATGAATCGGCTGTTTGACTCAATTGGTAAGAGATATGTGTTTAAAAGACTTGGATTAAACTAGCTAATCGGTTGGTTTCAATGTTTTAGGTTACTTAACTGGTTATGGGATAATCAGATATTCAGATGATACTAACCTATGTTCAGTTATGAAATAAATGGAGAAGCCCTGAATAAAACTTCTCAAATTTGATTCTTGATGTAATTTATGGTGTATTTGCAATGATATCGATAGGTCCTTAATTCTCTGCAACTCCTACCCTTAAATATATCAGGAATTCTTTGCTTTTCTAATTTAACATGTTTATCCGACTTCCTTTACTTGAAACTGGATTTTCACCCGTGCTTCGCACGGGATGCAGTTAGTAAGGAAAAAATATTTGTAAATAAATAGAAATGTTATGATAAAGATCGAATAGTGCATATATGGAGTATTATTTTTAACAAAAGTCAATGAAGATAAAAGAATTACACATAATTATACACTTCCTTGTAAAACAACATTTAAAGTCTTCTTGGTAGGTTTTCCTTCATTTTCACATATAATAAACTTCAATCAAAACGGGGACGCTACTCTTGAGACCGCGGTGTAAAGTTGTCTATAGATGAAAATCGGACAACGTAAGCATACACCAGCCCTCTCCAAAAATTGTCTCTGACTTTAATGATGATCATTGCGGAACTAATCATCAAAGGGAACTGCTTACACTACTGAAATGTAAACTATAGCTTTAAGTTTCGCAATAAGAAACTCTTGACCTACATTTGTTCCTGATATCATCTGAGCCTCAAGATTATGTGTTCCAAGTTTAGTGATGATAAGGAGAGTGTCATTACACAATATGGGAGAATGATCGATATTCCTCATTAGCATCACATGTACATCCACTTTCTGCTTCAGTTCATAGCTTGGCACACCAAAGCATTTAAGGAGTGCACTATCAAAGTCAGAAGAAGATGCCGAATCCGAAACTATAATTAATTATTTATGTTTTTTGTTAATTTCAATTCTGGTTTTAATATTATCACTTTTATTTTCATTTTCAATCTGAAAAACAGAATATGTATCGCCTTTAGTTCAAACAATTTTTTTGTATGAAGTAGTAAAGTTTAATTTAATAATTTGCGTAAAAGTATGATATTAAAAAATACTACTATAACCACGCAAGTATAAAACTTAAAATAAGAATGAAGTGATCGTAACTATTATCACTAATTGTACTTTATAAATTTCAACAAATAGATGATATCTCTGACATTTATTTGCTTATGCTTATGAGATGTCTATATATTTTTCAAATAACGTACGTGCACTTGTTATTATTTCACACGTTTTTTCTTCTCTTTTTGATACACTTGTTATTATTTCACACATTTTTCTTCTTCTTCTTTTCATGGGTTGCTTTAATAATAAATTCATGTAATTTTCTTTTTCAGAAAAGATAATAAAAAGAAATATGAAAATCACATGATCATGTAGAATTAGGTAAGTAAAAGGAAACAAATAAATGGTGATTAATATAACTATATTTTAATCATATTTTAAAGTACTTTAGTATAATTATTTTTTAAAGTACTTTTAAAAAAATCATTCATTGAAAATATTGTGGTTGGTTTACATTTTTTTTTCAAATCACTTGGGAGGGCATCATTCCTTCTCAAAAATATTGATTCTCTTAAGCTGCTCACATGGTAGGGGTGGACTCAGGCCGGGCGGCCCGAACCGCCAGCCCGGCCAGGGACCGGTCCGGGTAGGCCCGACCCGCTGGGGTTCCGGTCCGGGATCGGGCCCCTGAAAAGGTGAACCGGCCCGGCCGGTTCAGGCCCGGTTCGGGTCAATTTATTTTTTTTCTTTTTTCTTTTTTGAATTTTTTTTATGTTTTTGGGTTGGGCTGGGTATTTTAAGGTGGTTTGGGGGTGAGGGGGAGGGTTGGGGGTTAATTAGGAAAAGCCAAAAAAAAATGTAACCGAGGCCCGGCCCGGCCCGAACTGGACCCGGGGGTTACCCGGGCCGGTTCTGGGCCTCCCCTTTCATGAACCGAGGCCCAGCCGGGCCCGAACCGGCCCGAGTCCACCCCTATCACATGGGATGAAGTAAAATTAAATGTAAAATCTCTTAGACTGGTTTGAAATTGAACATGGGGGATTCATGCAACATTGGAGAGCAAATCATAAGATAACCATGTGAAAATCATCAAAACATTTGAATTACTTATGTGAACTTAATATGAACAAATATTATGATGTGAACTTAATATGAACAAATATTATGATGTGAACTTAATATGAACAAATATTATGCCAAGACTCCCTTATATGCTCATTACACTGTTCCTCGCAACATCACAATTTATCATCTTAATTATTTAGAAATTAAAATAATACAGATTAGTTTATAAAATTCTTTTATTATTAAAAGTAAAAGAAAATGAATACAATATTGGGACAAAGAGGGGGATGTTATCAATATCGGGTAACCACAAATACAACTCATAGATAAATTCACACATCTAAACATATTCTACAAATGAAATTACAGGTTTTCAAAGATGGGGGAGCAGGTGTTGAAAATAGACAAAAAAACTAAGCAGATCATTAATTCCAAAGAAGGAAAAAAAATCAAAACAACTGAATTATTATATGTCACATATCAAAGCATTCAAATACTAACATCATCCAATATATTGGTTTTACACTGTACATGGCATCATCTATATAACTTAAAAAAGAATACATTGAAGAGGAGTCTAGAGAAGATGAAAAAGATTATCTACTATCCCTTGAAAGTCTTACATTGCATTCTCTCGTGTGAGATTGTGAGTAGACACACCAGCTAATAATCTGCCATTTTGTCAACACCAAATGGAGTGATTTTGATTCAAAAATCATGTGAGAATAAATTTGTGTTGGAAATTAAAAACTACTTAAAATCATAACTGTTGGGAGTTTAAAAAGAAATGGAGCAATTACCTTTGTTATTAACTAATAAGTATATTTCCAGTAAAACTAAATAATAACAAAAGATACACAAATTTATATTTCAAGTAAAACTAAAGTACCCTCATAATGTTTCGCTACAATTCAAGAGAAGAAAGTTCTCAATTTCAACAATTGAGAAAATTTAGAAGTAAAAAATATTTAAAGATAAACTTAGAACCAAATATTTGAAAGAAACAATAATCGTTGAATAGAATCCATGTTGACAAAGAAACCAAACATACCTGAGTAACCAAATCCAAAGCTTTTCAAATGAGAAAGCAACTATAGTCCATCTGAAACCACAAAATATATAATATGACTTCTCATTGACTCATTCAGTTCAAGAATTAGATGTGATTGTTCAGCATGAATCAATTTCTAGACTGACTTCCCTTCTCCCTGGTTTTAGAATGACAGAGCCCTAACGGATTAGAGAAATCACAATTACTGAATTCCTGCCTAGAAGCAAGCCTTGATTTTTTTTTATAAATGTTGAATCAAAGCATAGTAACACAAATTGTGCATACTCCATAGTTCATCTAAACTATTTTGACATTCTTAACCACATCGTTGTAGAGACACAAAGAGGCTAAGGATGACAATAAAACATAACCTGCCCTCAAAAGTATTTGATTCATAATCAACAACCACACATCTTTATAAGGAAACAAACAGATTAAGAATGGCAATAAAATAGAACCTGCCCTAAAAATCTAGCACCAACATTATACTTAAGGCATTTATAACGCCCACTTGTCAAT